ATCAGTCTGGCGTGATGATATTCTGGGGGTTAAATGAGTTGATCGCTGGCGATGAACCGATAAAATTGCACGTCGCATACCGATGCGCGTATGCCCCCAGATGCCCCAGATGGCGAGATGACAATCGGCGGCTCGTTCTTTTTTTGATATCCAGGTTCAAGGATGACACTGACGGGTGCCCAGTTAAAAAGGCTGTGGACAGTGTAGCCGTGGTTCAGCATCCGAGGTCCCCATTGCATTCAGCAATATCCGGACGGGCCTTCAGGGCAGAACGGGTAGCGTCCGTATTTGATTGCAGGGTTGGTCCTTTGGCACAGCCTGCCAAGATCCAGGAGGAGGAAACGATAGAGGCCACAGACCAAGGGGCAGAGGGGCCAAGCCAAGAGAAGGATGTGCCGTCCATCCATCACCGTATCAGTCCCTTTGACGGAGCCTTGTCACCGTCGTCGACGTTGCCCTGTCTCGAGATTCGGACCCTTTTATCAAGGTTGTCGGTCTAATGCTTCAGAGTGCGAGATGGACACGCAAGCAGGACGAGCATAGGAGCCCCAGCGTGTTTGTACAATGTCTGGCTATAGCAGTACTTCGTGAGGTTCTCTAGCGGACGAGCTGATGGCGATGTCGTGTCGAGTGTTTCTTCGTGTCAGTCTCGCGCGTCTCATCCATCTTTGATATGACGTGTTTGTCGGCCAGGTTCCGCCATAGGATCCAAGAGGCGATACACATGCTTGGCTGGCGCACATCATTTTCCGAGTCAGGTATTCGAGGCTCAACAACGCTGCGGGTGTGGTACCAATGTACTCTGGCACTTGTAGGTATCTGCAAAGGGACAAGAGCCAAGATCTGAAGCTTGACATGATCTGCAGCGGCCCTTTGGTATCTTGACTCTTGACACACCAGGGGCCTCGGGAATACTTACGAGGCAGACGATTAACAAAGGCGACGGACGGTAATACTCTTTACGGGTAGAGGCGTCGATTAGCCAAATAAAAAAACAATAACCTGCGAGGTTTGAGCGTGCGTTTGGTTGAAAAGTAAAGACCTGATTCTCGACGAAACACACAGCGGGAGCCAGTGACTGGAGAAATGCAGCAGGTTGGCGTGTCATTGGCGGGCTGAAGACGGAGATAATCTGGCAGGCGAGACAAATGCACAAAGTTGGAGCCTTTGGACGAGAAACTTGAAGGAGAGACGCTCACCTCACTCGGTGAGATGAAAGACGGTGTAGATGGCGTAGACGGTAGATTGGGACGGTGGGTGACAGACTGACGGTCGGTGTGTCAGTGTCAAAAGTGGAAGGAACCCCCCATCTTTTGGATGGAGACATTGGTGGAACCGAGGTGCCCTGGTGGTGCAGCCCTGCAAATTAGGGGACCGCAAGTGCAAAACAGGAAGAAGGTAAAGGCAGGTACGTCGAGTACGTATCCGTCGCTCCATGCCTTGTAGAGTAAGGTAAGTATCGCACCCCCCGCTGCCTTCCATCTCTCAGCGAGTTCTCACTCCTCGCGGCAGGTCACCTTCCATTCGCCGTCAGCCGGTCTCGTAAAGCAAAGTACCTGCGTACTCCGTACCTATCATCCGTATCTCGTCCAGTCCTGAACGCCGTATCCGAATTTAGGTAGTTACGAACCGTCTTGCCTCGGTCATGGTCACCCGTGCCTGGCCTCAAAGTCCGTTTCGCTTCGTTATCTCAACGGAAGACGGCCAACCCGAGAAATCCACGCCTGGTCCGCCCGAGGCGCCGTGTCTACCTTTTCCCCATCTTGTTTCTCAAAAATCCCCTCAGCAGAAAAGACAAGAGATGGGATCGTGTTGAAGGGCCTGGTTAGTCTTCTGCCTTTTCTGCCTGCCATGGCCGAAGCGACGCCGCGACCTGCCTTCTAGGGTGCCTGACTCCCGCCTGAGGAGGTAACCTGCAGCCCGCAATGTGCCAGTGCCCTCCCCCGGAGCCCTGTCTTGCCTGGTGGCCATGCACCCCAAGGTTTCCCCTCCGTGTAAGAGGTGAGAGGGTCGACATGTACATCTGCAGATCATGGCAGTGTAAAGGTACTTTGGCCTTCAGCCACGGACGGCCGCCCTGGTGCTGACAGGAACGGACGTATTCCGTTCTCGGCGTGTACGGATACGTGCCCAGGGCTTACAGTGAACTGTTATCCGCGTCATTACTCGCCGCCGGTCCCAGGTTTTGAGTGCTGTATCATCGCTGCAATCCTCGGCCGTGTCATGGACTCATTCATGGCTCAATGTTTGAATATCAAGTACGTAGTCCGGCAATCGACTCTCATCAGGATGTGCTTGTCGCTGTTATTCTGTCATTTTATCTTCGCCTCTCGTCAGCTTGATCCAATACCGCCCGGTCGTGCTGCGGTCCTATTTTATGACAGCCGCCAGATAAGGCACGGATAAGAAGGCCGGGAATGACACAAGATTACAGATAATCTTGTATTCGCAAAGGTCAGCTCCTGTAGGTACCTAGCTACTCCGCCTTTTCGCCATCATCATCCATGATACTACTACCTTACGCAGTACCTTGGTATATCTTGCTCTACGGATACCCGCCCTTTGCCTTGTCCTTTATTCTTCCGTTTCAAACGGATCCCGGGGCCCTCGGCAGAAAGAAGAAACACCAAAGTGCAGGGGGTGATGGGATTAGCCAGACATTCGATCGATACAGATATACCAATCTCAGATCTATAGGTAAAATCACGACCTGCACCGACTTAGCGCTGTCTTTCGTGTATTCTCTCGGCAATATGCCTCAGCTGCCCAATGTCTCCAGATGTATCTGTATCTCACGCACGGCCAACGCCATTCACGGATATTCCAAAGTGTTCAGCTGCCGGGCAAATAAACACCGTAGTACCTACGGACAGTGTAGACTTTCAAACCCTCTCCCCCAATCGCATCGTCGTGGTCCACGATCCAGGCCATCTAGGCCGCCCAGGCCATCCAGAAGCAGGCTGCACAGTTTGAGGTTGCAAATACCCCAAGAGTCCAGACCTTCCCGATGGTCCATCTAAGCTCCTATGGTAGCCTTCATTCCGGACACCGACACGTCGGCAGTCCAGATTACCCCAAGCCATCTCACGGAGCAAAGCTTGCAACGGGCTAGAGTTACAGCCACGTCGCCGACTTGGACGGAGCGAAGGAGTCCAGCAATAAGGTAGTTGAATCATCACGACCGAAGCCGGTGGTATCATGAAAGTACCTACGCTTCCACTTCCGGAACCCCCCGTACCAACACCATCAACATCGGGCACCACCAGTCTGATTCCTCCGACTCTGACTCTTTTCTTCTGACGGGAATCTTCAAGTCCAACAAGTCCTTCACCCACAAAACTCAGACCCGACACTTCGCGGCCTGCTGAGCCGAAACAAGGCCGCATCAGCAGTCTCAATACTCGGTATCGGCCTCGCCATCAGCACCAATACCATCGTCTCGGCATCAGCAAACCACCGCAGTGTGGCACTCGTGCATCAAATGGACCAATACTCTGCACTCCGTACACCGTACCCAATCCAATATCAGGCTCACGCACCTCACCTCACCTCAGACTCTCTCAGTCAGCCTGCCCTCCGACTATTGACTATTGAATGCGACCCCCCTGCCTCCGCCATTCCGACTTGCTGGGCAGAAGGAACAAGATTTGAGACAAGAGTCACCGAGAAGACGCGTCTTCAGCTGAGAGGTGAAGCCAGCCGACCACGTAGGACCTACCTACCAGTGCCAACACACAGCAGCTGGCACTGAAGCTGCACAGTCCCTTTGGTCCTGACCTGGGCAGCTGGGCTGAACTCGACCCGATGTGTGTCCAGCTCCCCTGGACTTTCGCGTTAGGCTCTCTCCGGCCTCTACCTTGCTTCCATTTCGGTGAGGTGTGGGTGAGTTACTTACTTCCATTTGTTAGGTGCGTGTACCCATTAAAACGGACTTGGAAGTCATCAACGAAAGGCCATCGCACCGTTTCGCTCTCCGTTTTCCGTCCCCCCCCCCCTTGCGCCCTCGCCTGTTCTCTCCACCCCTGCCCGCGGTTGCCCTACCTTACCTTACTCGGTCTCCACTGGGAAGGGGGTCGCCCACTTCCTTCCCACTCTGCACAGACCGGGAAGTCCACCCCTGCCCCCTCCTTCCCTCCTTCTCACAAGTTCACACATGTCACTCCGTCTCCTTCCCCCTTCCTTCCCACACCCACACACAGCTGGTTCGGTACCTACGGTGCTCCTTCCCGCCACGCGAGGCCAACCTGAAATAATACGGGGAAAGGACCGCACCCTCGCACTTGCTGCCTTGCAGCCCACAATCCCATAATCCATAATAACCCAGCCTTCACCCGCATCCATCCATCGTGACGGCCTCCTCCCGATTCTCTTTCTATTCTATTCCGCGACTCTGACATCCCGCCATACCGCAGTGACCGAACTTTCAAAGCGCCTCAACGATCTCACAATAGGCCTCCTCCTTCGCCGCCTCATACAAGCCTACACACATACGCCTCTACTCACTACCGCTCCTCCGATCCGCCCTCTACTCGGTCCAGCCCACACCGTCTAGTGCTGTCTCGCCCTGCCTCATTCTCATCGGCAACCGAACAAAGGAAAACGAACATTTCCTACTCTGCCAGTAAATTCTTTTACTGGACCCTTGGATATCCGAACGCCCGCCCGCCCGGATTCTTTGTCGCTTTCGTCGATATTTCCAGCACACCCTCCCGTCATTCCGAATTCCAGAGTCCAGACTTCCCTGCTCTCTGCCACCCCGTCCCAGCTATAACTCAAGGGTCCCTGTCTTGGAGGCTTAAATAACTCCAGCTGCGATCACCCCGGCTTTTCCAAAACACCACCAGCCAAGCAAATCATCTACGCGAAAACCAGCGTCACGCGTCATTTATCTCACGTCTACACAAACCACAACCATAAAGGGCCCGCGCATTCCATCTCATCTTGCATTCCTACCCGCCTTCCAGTCCACAACTAGCCGCCACTATCAGACTACATACAAAATGTCACCAGCACAAGACCAATATTACTACGTTGTTCCCAACGCCAGCGCCATGGATCCCAACGCTAGAGAATTTGACCTCGCTTCACAAGGCTGGATCCAGGCCACCATCATCGAAGATGACGATCTCATGTTTGGCGGCAAGTCTTTGAGCACCTGGTATGAGGAGGAGAGGAGACGCCTGAGCAATGGTTCCTCGGACGAGGAGGAGCACCGCGGTCGCCAACGGGTAAGCCACAATGCCTCGTGAAGCCTGCTCGCGAACGCCACTGACTTTTTCAAGGTCCGCAAGCACCACTCTTCTCACAAGCATCATCACCACTCCTCGAAGCAGCACTCTACCAGCTCCGACAAGAAGCACTAAGCGCGCCCTCTTTCAGCTCTCCATCTTTGATATAGATCGCCATCACCGCGATACCCTTTGCGAGCGCTTGAATTTCATACCCCTTTCACGTCGACTCTGTTTATCCAGCATGGATACCTGTGTCGACTTTCTCGCCTCCCTTCCTCACCTCGATACCCTCCTCTGTGTGGCATTGGGTACACTGGCGTTTGTTTTTATCAGCGTTACATGTTCCGCTGGGTCACTAGAACGGCTTCATGTCCAAAGAGAGGACAGCAACCAGCATGGAAATCACGGGAGCCAAAGCAGAAATCCGCATTTCTACGGCACCGCCTTTCGTTTTAATTGTTATTGCATTGATCGCAACGGCCTGCGATAGCGTCATGGTTCGCATCTAGATGGTTTTGGGGCATTATCACCAGAGACTCTCCGACTCGAACGTCGAGAGCTGACTTGTTATTTTGCATGAGTGGATAAATGTCAACCAGGGGGATTTGTGCAGCGGAGGCATCATACACGTACTGTACCCCGTTGCGGGACGGCGTGGCTACAGGTTAGCAAGATAAGACTGTTGCGAGGCAACGAAAGCGAGCAGTGGAGCATCATCTTGGGCTGAGTAGCGGTGAGAGCTGCGCCTCGGCTCAGAGCATGGGGCCCGCGAGAATGAATACAAATCAGTTAAAGTATATCTTTGTGCCTATTTCATGATGCAGTGAGTGATTATTATTGGGGCAAAATGTCTGCAATGCGTCTGAGTCCTCGACGGTCATGACAGCCAACAATGCACAGCAGTGCTGCCCCCCCACGCTCAACAGTTGAGGCACATGCATAGTCATAGTAGAATCCAACAGACGGGTTCCGTCAGTGGTGTTCCTCTGCAGGTCCAGCGCCGGAACAGAGAATTGAGCCTACCTTACCGTAGTCAAGCTGCAGCTGCCTCGCCCGCAGTGCAAGTCTAGGCTTGTGTCCCGGACTCCAGGAGCCCAGAGACGGTAAAGTCTGGAGAGCAGCGTTGCATGCACACACATGCATGCGCGCTACGGATAACTAGTGTCCTTCTGTCTGCCGCGATTTCTTCTTCTGTGCGGGATGAAGGCCCTGGTCGTGCGCGGGTTACTGCCCGTGGTTTCGGGTACGGCCGGCGGCTGGTGCCGGGGGGGCATACTGGGGGCGCGCGCATGGAGAGCGCCAGAGCGCCAGTGGCAGATGGGGGTCAGAGCCTGACTCGGGGACGTCTGGGTGGGTGTGTTCTTGACTCTTGTCGTTCCGTTTTCTCTTCCATTTCTTTGTGTGTTTGAATCTTTTTGAGGTGTCCGGCATCGGCCATGTCGGCATTGAAAAAGTTTTATGAGATTGAGAGATGGTGTGAGGGATGGATTGGGCAATGCCGGATGCCGTAACTCGATGTCGGCGAGTGGCTGCCACCAGAGACTTGAGTACGGACAGTCGTCTCGATGGACTCGTTGGCGAGTGACTTAGTTTGCCAAAGTTGTTGGCCCTTTTAACATCAACGTCGTGGTCTACTTACGTAGTGGTTTGTGGTGTGTGGCTCTGATAGCCGCGATGTTGTCGTCTTGGTACGAGTGTACGCCTCGATACTTGAGTGATGTGCGCTGCGCTCAAGTGCTACATCGAATGGATAGACCTGGCCCCAAGATGTCATTGTTTCTTGCAGTGTCTGGCATTTTCGTCTTCCTACTGAGGCAGGTTTGATCTTGACTGATCACGTAACATAACTTTAAAAGTCGTCTTCGAGTCGAGCCTCAAGGGTTCTCCCCACTACTACCTTAAGCTTAACTTCATACCTCAATCAAGCATTCGTGTAAAGTGGCCAAGTCCCCGCACACCAAAGATGTGGCCACAAGCCGTTCAGGCGCCTAGCTCCCTCCGATCATGAAGTTCGTAACTATTCTCTCGAAATCATCCTAAGTCTACGAGAGAAAAAAAAGACAACAGGCGGCATCACGGGCTTGCACCACTCCTTGAACAGTAGCATCTTGAGGAGACACTGCCCCTTTTATTCTCGCGCCTGTTGCATTGGCTCGCATAATAGCTACGCAGACCAATCTGGGCCAGAAGCGGGTGATTTGGGAGCCATGTTCTGGCCTCAACAGCACCGACCTCATCCAATGCGCGGGCTTGACACCCAGCCGGGATCCAACAAGACTCTTGAACTGCCAATCTCTCGGCTTCTAGTTGCGCGCCAGCTTGCTGCGGGAAGCATGATATATATATATATATTTATATCAGTTTAGTGGGCTAGGCGCATATGGACGGACAACATCGGCTAGCAGCCCGAGAAGCATGGGGAGAGGTGACTTGAAGATCACTTGGCAACTTTATATGAGGGTACCAAGTCATGTCCAGAGGTGCAGTTTGCTTTACTGACCTGGTGTTGTTCCAAGACTATGAGCTATCATCTCGACCTCGTAACATGCGATTCGCTGTTATCAAGAGTCTTGCCGGTTTCACTGTGGCAGCAATACGTGGACTTATACACGGCATATCGGCATACACCACATCCAAATACTGGCATCATCAACGCACCAATATGCCGTGTCCTTGCTGAAATCCATCAGAACGTGGCAGATGCTCCGTTGGAATCATGGACTATTTTCAGCCTCGGAGCAGTACTCTGGTAACTCCAACGTGAAGACAAGACAACCAGTACTGCTCATCGACAACATGGCTTTTCTGGTCATGCCGCTCGGCGCGGCGCGAAATGGGTGTTCCAGCTTCCAGGGTAGTGTTATCCCAAAGGAACAGAAATCTGGTTCAAATCGCAAATTTAGAGATATCTTTGATCTTGCTCACGGACGGAGTATAGTATCCATGAAGCAGAGAGCTTCGACATGTTCTGGGGATGTGATGGTTTATCTTATCAGTAGGACGCTAACACGAGAGGAAAGGATTGACGATTTACGATTTATATTGGCCTGCTGCTCACTGACATCATTGCTGGCTTGAAATAGGATATTGAGTGGCCACGGGGTTCCGTCTCGATTCCCTGGTTTTAAAGACCGCACTCTGGCGCTTGAATATCCAAATCTTGGCACCGTATGGCCTTGAAGCTAGCTTTCCAAGTCGTAAATCTGGTCATAGATACACACAGGGATTATCAGACCTCTTCATCGCGAGACTTCCGCGAATCCAGGCAGGCTATTTCTGAAAATTGGCACAAGAGATTCCGGCACAGAACTATAGAAGGGCACATGTACGAACAAGGACGACGATACATGCAACTGTTAGAATGACTGAAAACTACTAAGTAGCTTTTATTTCGAACTACGATACTGATAGCTATCCGCTATTGAAGACTGGCATCTCTCAAAGTGCTACACGCGAGCGCTAGACGCCCAACTCGGACTCTCTTGCAGACACCCACCAGATGCCTATGGATTACAAGCCGATCTCTCGCAGTAGCCCGATCGGTGCTCATATGCCAGTACAGGCACGTCTGTGCAGGGGTGACCTGCCTTCTTCCGGGCGCATGGCTGTCTCGCTAGTTTTCTCTCCTTATGGTTTGTGCCGCACCTGACGCAGTGGTACCGAACATAGGGTCGGGTGCACATCTTTGCGAATGTTGTCAGTGACGTTCTGGTAATGGTGATGGTGGCAGATGAAGATTGTGTTTGTTTTCGATTTTGTTGCTTTTGGGTTCTTGTCGAACTTGGCAGTGATGACAGTTTGTCTTGTAGTTTGCTTGGTTGAAAGTGCGTGGTTTGAGGAGCAGATGTAATTTCTGGTTGAAGCAAAAGGAATCGACCCTTTTATATGATTTCGAAGACAGGAAGTGAATCATGCTGTCCGGCACTCGAGATATCGTGGCTGATGGTACTTGGGAAGGTGATTCAGTCAACTTCCTTCCGAACCCTTCGAACCCTGATGTGACGCCGAGTCGCTGCTTCTTCCTAAGATCTGAATGGGTCACCAGAAGGCACAGAACCATGATGCGGGCAACTGTCGGTTTGATTGAAAACTGTGATTTATCTTTTACGAAACTGCTCAGTCACCAAGAGCTACCCGTTGCTTAACATTGGCATCCGTCGCTGGGCTGCCTATGAACTCGTTGGACATACAACCAGGTGCCCTCCAAACGATGACCTTGCCCATCGTTCTCGACCATATTCATGTTCATTGCCCTGCTGTATAGATTTATGTGCCTGCCGAACGCGACCAGCCCCTAATTGCTGCTTTGCTCTGAGCTGAAGCGTCCGTCACACTTACCGCAATAACCCCTCCTGGGATTGGCGGACAATATATCGATCGGCCCTGCACATTCTCTTCCCTCCTTCACAGCCGCGCATTCGACTTTCGTATGTAGATGCCGATGACTTCCACTCTCGTTCTTGCATTTCTCATTTCTGCACCAATATTGACTGTACTGGTAGGTGCACATTTTTGGAAAATGAAATCGGCGATGTCTTCTGGTGGTAGAATCAATTTGGCTCGGAGACAAATGTGGTTCTTGTTGATGTTGCTAGGAATTATTGTCCGTGTTGAAGAGTAGCAACTGTGTCTAGCTGAGATCGCTGCTGCTTCCCGAAAGCTAAACTTCAGCTCGAAACAGAAGGTGCCTTCTTTAATAGTTTACTCTCTCCTGAAGAGATCTCGGGGGTTCTTGCTTCGTCGATGGCCTGTTGACTCTGGATCAAAAGTCGTCGTTCTTCCTTCCCCTCCGGTTCTTCTTATATAATTTTCACGGGCAAAGGACACTCACCGTATGTATCCCCAGTCTTCTTCACAGTCTCTACAATAATGATCGGGTAAGCTCAAGGCCCAAGGGCAAAAGGCAAAGCAGCAAAGGGAATGCCTGAACAGTAAAGACGTGCGCTACCTTTTGCGGAGATTCTCCCTGGTTGGTTGGGACAGCTGGTAGGTAAGATTGAATAACGTCTTCTTGTCCTGGTCTACTGAAGGACGTACAGAATGATCAAGGTTGCTTCAACAATCCTCGAATAAACCCTCGTGATATACCACTTGATCCAAGCGAATGTATGCTTCGCATGATAGTCAACTCGTAAGATTCTTGGCGGCCGAACAACGTGTTTGTGAACCTCTGCCCCTTTTAGGTGGTTGTGACACAGAGAGGCGGAATTGATAGCAGATGATTGAGTGCCGAGTCGGTGGCGGTGGCATCGAATTGCTGAATATAGTTTTAGTACTTAAAGGGGCGTGGCTCTGTGACCGTGGAGTCAGGGGCACTTCGTGTTACCCTCTTTAGCCCGGTAAGGTCGTGGACGGTACGTAGCAGCGTGATGAAGGCTCTCCAGTGAGAGTCCATGTGTCCAGATTATCCAAGCTGAATCGCATTGAAGCGCTGCAGTGATTGTTCGCTATGGGCTCACTTGAGATCAGGAAGATAGAACAGATTTCTTTGCGGGCTGGGTATGTGCGAGAATTCGCAGCTTGGTGCCCATTCGTGTGTATTGCTCAATTCTCTTTGGGATCAAGTCACATGAGCGGCTGCTCGCTATTGCTCATGGACAGAAGTCACTTCACACCATGTTCTGCAATGTTTCTAAGGGAGACATACAATGTTCAAGGCCGGGACTCTCCCAAGTACGTCGAACGCGGAGCCTGACAGACGAATGATCATACCTTGTGCATGAATTGCCATCCTCAATGAGAAGACTTCACGGTCTGAGTAGCTGTTTCGTCACAGGTGATGAATGCTGTTGCGGTTCTCAAGAGACCCGATCACAGAGTCGACTTATGGTGCTTGCGTCTGAATTTCATCAGGAAATGTAGTGAGGATCGGTTTTGGGAGAGTAAACTTGGGCTTGTGTGTCACCGAGAAGACAACGCTCGGGAGAACCGTGCTTGAACGACCGACATGGTAAAGCTCAGAAGCACCTGTTTTGGATCCCATCTTGAATATGGGCGCCGTACAGTGAAATACGCCAGATTCGCAAAGGCAGTGGTAGCCTTTCCCACAGACAACATCAGTAACTCCTTCCCTCAGTCAATCATCAACCAACCGCAATCTAGGTAGACTTCACGGTTTGATTTCCATCGCCTTAGAAAGCCAGAGCTGCTTCCTTCCGTGAGTGAGATCTAATACTGTGGCATACATGGAAGCTGTTAATGCTCTTTACGATAGTCAGTCCGTTTTATGACAAGTTCACCGCCCCCTTAGTCCTCGTTTCCCGCATGCACTTGTCAATCATCCGTGATGATAGTTCAACTGCTCCTTTCGGAGCCCCGTCATGGCTACAGCTAGTGTGCAAGAATCTGGCCTGTTGATACTCAAGTAAATCACCAATGACGGCGAGCTTTTGCTTTGCCACCCTTGCCCTTGTTCTGCTCCTCATTACGTGGTTACAAACGTGGTAGAAACTGGACCAGAGTCTTTCCGGCCAAGGTCATCCACCCAAAAGCAAAAGATTGGAGTCTCACAGATACAGGATAATACACGTCAACGTTCAAGTGCAGGGGATGTCAAGGTGGCAGGAACGTAGGTGAGGAGATTGGTGCTGCCTGTGAAACGATCCAAGACCAATCCTCAGTGCAGCCACAAATCCCGGATGGAAGCATAGGATTATACCTATCGACGAGGTTCGCACCAAGTAAAGCCGCAGGCTGACGACTGCAAGAGCGAGGCCAACATTATCAAACGTACGCCAAGAGTTTCTTCCAAGTTCAGGTGTTGAGTCCCATGTGTGAACAGTGTCCCTCAGAAGTTGTTTCCTCAGTCGCTTAGTACATCACGTGCAAGATTCTAGAGGAATCATTGCCCCCGCATTGCTCCTAAGCTGCCAGATGCTCGATAGTCCGGAGACGAGTCGTTCATCGAGACCTTCCTAGCAGGGCGATGCGTAGTGTATCGGCCGGGAACGGGATTGAAAAACGGTCCATTCCGCCGGAGCCGGCATTTCCGTCGTCCGAGTGTGCCGCGGCGCAGCAAGCTTTGAGCCAGATCTGATGTGTAAATCTGCACAGTTCCATCAGACCACTGCAACCTTATATCTCATTATGGACCTGTGACGCCTCGGACGCCCACCAGGCGTTGGAACATGCGGGGTATAGCTGATGTACAAGAAAATGACCTTGCGGATTCCGGATCGTACGTTGAGGGGACAACGGCCAAGAACTCTCCGTGTCGCCGGGGTAAGGCATCCTTGACGAAAAACGCGAGCGTTTAGTGGACAGGATGCAGTGCTGAAAGCAACGAGAAAAAGGTTCAGCCGGGCGAACGTGATGGCTTCTCGGCTTTCTTGCGGTGGCTTAGCTCATTCGGATATGCAGGATACTTGGATGAGTGCACTGAGCAGAGAGACCTTGACATTCTAGACTTCGAGCTGCAATCTTGGAGCAACAGGACTTTTGTAACGCGGCTATGCAAAGTGAAAAGTAGGCTCGGCTCCCGGCTCTTATTGACGCCTCGTTATTATCGTAGCCCCCTCATCTTGGTCAAGTGAGCGGGCACTACCTACGGAATGCGCTCCGGCCGACAGCCCCGCGGGACCGGGGACGGGAGCTTTGAAAGCCCCTCACCGGTCGCAGCTTCGCGGACCGAGGAGCTGTAAGTTTTGCTTGCTGTCTTTCCGAGGGCCATTCCGTCACTGGAGTTTAAACGTGACAAAGGGATTGTGCGGGCGTCAGCTGTATTGACAAATTCTCAGCCAAAGTGGCTCGGCGGGGCGCAAACAGCCCAGAGGACTTCAGAGGCGCAACGGGCTGGACACTTGGCGCTGAGAATCATGAGTGGCTTTGCGGGGTCAGCAGAGGACCAGGCCAAGGAGCCAAGTGTTGGTGACGGGGCTGTGGGCATGTGAAGATGAGAGGGCTCAGAGGAGAGTGAATCAGATCAAAGCTGAGATGCGATGAAATGCGGACAAATGAGATGACAAGAGTTGCGTCTGGATGACGCACTGACCGAGCGAGTGATGAGCTGTTTCCTGCTGTTCAAGAATTGGCAGACATGGCATACGAGCTTCATCTCATTGACAAGGTCATCCCAAGAGTCTAGACCTCTTGGACGTCAAACCAAGCTTTGACCAAAGGATTCAATTTCGTCAGACTGTGTGGTCTTTGCCTTTGCTAGCAGTGCCGTCCGGCGGTCATCTTTTAGACGGCGTCCAATGTGTCCGTCTCTGATGTGTCCACGGCGCCATGCAGAGCGCCACAGTGATCCCTCCTTGACCTATTTCAAGAGAGGCGTGAGAGGATCTGATTACCGTAAGAAACAAGGTAATGTGTGTTACCTATGCAAGGCAAGGTTAGCTAACGACCGGTACTGCCGGTTTCCGTAGTAGCCTCTTTTTACATCTCAGTCAGAAGTCTCTCCCCAAGTTCCTTGGTCTCTTATTACGCATACCTACGTACTGCGTGCCCTTACACCCTCAAAAAGACTTCGGCCAAAGTCGCCCACTTCACCGAAAGTCGGGCGAGGATCAGTGAGCGGTGCGGAATCGGTCCCTGCAGGGCAACCCTCTCTAGTGGTCCCATTCGCGGGAATAGACGGGAACTTTGAGATGAGGCCCGTCGGCGGTAAATGAGGGAACGCAGGCGGCAGCAGCCCTGTGGGCTTCGAGGGTTTCAAGCCTCAAGGAGGTTGGTTCATGGTTGTTTGTACCTTGACTTGACAATCAAGAACTCATGAAAGTAGGTAGGGTTGAAGGAGACACCACCAAAAGACTCATCTGATATGTCTCGCACACCCAAACTTCCCGCGCCCATCCCGCACCGTCACCGTCATTTGATCCAAGGCCCGCAAGTACCGAAGAAGGTTGGGTTAGGGCGCATGTCTCAGTGTCCAAGACACAGACTAGCACAGTGAACCCCTTCACCGCAGGTCATGAAGCCATTGAGAGTGTTGCCCTGGGCGAATCTGGGCCCTGGACGGGCGATGATGGCCTTATCGCTCCATATCAGCGTGGTATCGCATCATCCAGTCACACTGACACTGACTGGCCGCCAGGGAGAAACACACCCATCATCATGGCCCGTTGATAACCCACATCAAAACATCCAAAAGGTTTCAACGCTACCTTACGCCTCATGCGTGCCCGGGAAGAGAGAACACTTGACCGTAGCCACTATCAATGTCGTATCTTTCTCTATCTCTCTCTTTCTGAGTTTCCTCGTCGCCCGGCAGATGGCCATCCCGCGGGCGCGGGCGGATGCCACGGCCTTTCATCGCCTGACCACGCAGCCACGCTCGTCCACGTCGGCCAGCTGTTTTCATCCACTCAGAAACGCGAAGCTGACACCGCCATAACATCATGACAAGACCAGGGGCGCGGGAAAGTTTCTTGCAGCGCCATCCGGTGGCATCCACAATTCGAGATGCAAGGGGAGAGGGTCCTCTCTTCCATTCGCATGACACTCTTCCGCAAGGTGAATACTTGGTAGGTAAGGCATTGATAATGTAGTCACGTAGTGTAAGTCGGGCGTGCAGGTTTTATTCGTACAACACACACACACACTTTGCGTATGTACACAACGAGGTACACAAACAAGTACCTCATCGACACGAAACTGAAAATTTGTTGACACATCGGAGAATTTCCATCATAATTTTTTCTTGTCCCTCTCGTTTAATTGTTTCCAGGGACCAATTCGACGTCACAAACGAAAACTCCTGCGTCGTAGCTCCAGTTCTTTTTTCTCGCGTAGGGCCCCTTTTTGGTTACGTGGTTCGGCCCTTTTTTGCACACTCTTCCCGTTGAGTTCCCTTGAATCAGTGATTCGTGAGAATCGATTCGTAGCTGGAGTGCTGGAGAAAGGCCTCGTCTCCAAAAGGCCCCAAAGTAGCTCCAAGAAGCAAGGACTTCAAGGAGCAGAGAAGAAAAAATTGCTTGGTTGGACCCATTTAATGCCCAGTTCCGGACACTGCCCGGGCCAGACGGAGCTCACAGCGCAACCCTCCCGGCCCCATCGTCATTACTCATTCTAGGTCCAATTACCTCAGAAGTACTACTTTATACAGAGTGCTATACATACTTCGTACTAGTAGCTACTCCTTAGTCTCAGAGATGTATGCGGCCATGGCTGGCTTTGTACCCTCAGCGCCCTGAGAGGTGTGCCACGAGTGTGCCCAGAGCCACACACACACACACACACATCCCAAGTTCCCTTGGCCTGATGGGCTGGTGGTAATAATATTGTCCATGGGCGTTGGCATGAGTAAGTAAGGATCGGCCTTGTTCCGTTGGGCGCCGCCGCGGGTCTGATCGCCATCGCTCTTCAGATTTTTAGGGCGCCTCGTCTCGAACGATCTGAGCCTTAGATTGGTGATCACTGCATAGGGTTCCGGCACCCGCGGCTTATATAGTGGGCTTGGGATCCCGTTCGAACTGCTCTCTCGTCATATTCGTCGGATCCCAATTCCTGGTACGGCACTTGGCTCTTCGTCTGAACGGTTCCCCTATATTTACATCGGGCACCCATCGACACCTCACGTCAACATTAAGCACAGACACTTACAGCAACACACCTCAAAGGAGTACAAATACCAACACGACGGAACCCAGCACACACAGACGTACTACTACCATATACCATCTTGATCTCAACTATCAACAACTAAACATTGTACTCTCATACACGCAAGGATCACATACACCTCAACACCATCCCAACATGTTTGGCCGCCAGTCACAAACTCAGTTCCCCAAGCGAAGCAGCTCAGGCTACTCGTGGCCCGAGAGCGACAGCGAAGACGATATCGTCATCAGGCCCTGCGCCACGAACGAGAAGGCCGATGCCACAGTCACCATGACCGAGTGCGTTCCGGGCCCGACGGCGGTGGAACAGACTTCTCAGTCCAGGCCTTCTCTCAGCGGCCGCCGCGCCTCCGCCGAGGATACCAACCTGCAAGAGCTTTGGGAATGCATGCTTGAGCTCCAGCAACAATATCACTGCTACAACTCGACGCGTATGGAGATTGCTGCCGATAGGGAGGACGCCATGGACATGATGCGTATGTTGACACACCCACTTTTCGCCTCTTACAAGAGCTTCCTTTCGCTAACACCTTGTTCAGCCACCAAGTACTGCATGGACATGCTCAACGACTCCATCGAGTCCCTTCCCGAAGAGGGCTGGAAGAAGCTCAGCAAGTTCCTCATCACCGACCTGGAGCACGCCCAAAAATCGCAAAAGTGGAAGTTCTGGAAGCACCTCTAGATTTGTGCACATGGACCGCTCAACTCTTGCACAAGTCTTGCGTTCATCCTTTCTTTCAGCGAAGCGAAGGGCTCTCGGCTCTGATTAGAATGATACCCCCTTCTTTTTTCTCATAACAAAAGTCTCGGTTTAGGGTCAGGCGTCTCATCGGATATCCCCTGGTTCAACTACTCACATTGGGTTTGGTGGCTCTGGAGGCATTGGCGGATTTCTGTTAAATTATTTAATTCATCACGCAAATCGTATTTGACACACTTTGAAACCTTTACTCCTCCATCTTCATATCTCCCGTAGTGAATTCCGCCCCTTCACTCATACGATTTCGTCATATCGTACGAGACGACATCTCATGGAATGCTCGGTGCGGGGTGTTGGAGGTCTCGGCAGAAGCTCACGGCCGCCGGCTCCGATTCCGGATCGTGAATGCCGATCGTTTGTTGGCGTGCTCACCAGTGTGACACGACATGCATGTGCCATTACATCGCGGGGAAAAGGTCAAGTAGGCCGGTGAGTCAGAGCGTTTTGACATGTCGACTCAAATGTGACGCTAGCTGCGAGCTGACCCGTACTTGTTGGGTATACAGGAGGTATTTCATCACGATGTTGAAAGTGCAGTGACGTTAGTAGACTGTTAATGGGGGACCCGTTGTATCCGCAGCATGTCTCGATTCTCGAGTCAAATTGCAGAATTAGCCTTCAATAGCGCAGAGCATCACTCATGAAGATCGTCGTAAAAAAAAATCATTTCATTGGGCTAAACTCTCATTACAAGGTCATACAAAACAAAGCGGAAACCAAAGCAATAGTCGATCTACACAGCCGCGGCAACTTCGACAGGTCCCTGAGGAAGCCGGGCGGCGGCAATGTTGCACTGCCGGAACAACCGCACCTCATCTTCCGCAAAGGCGCCCACCACGGAGTGGATCACGCCGCGGTTGTGGAAAATGACAAAGTCGCCCTGCTCCCAGTCGTGAGCATACACGTTCTTGGGCGAGATGCCCGGCCGCTGCAGGCGGTGCACCGTCTCCCGCACCTCGGCGAGGTCCTCCACCACGGTGCCGTCCGCCAAGTGCAGCTTCCGCACCGCCGAGGGGTGGACCTGCAACGCTAGCCGGTCCGTGACGGGGTTCCGCCAGCACATGGGCAGGATCTGGATCTTTTCCTCGTCGATGGGGGGCAGGTCGTCGAGCGGGACCTCCTTGCCCTCCGAGACCATGCCCAGACCGGTGGAGCGGGACTTGGCGCTGCTCATCCACACGTAGGGATGCGGTGCGTACTCCACCTTTGTCGTGCGGACGAACTCCTGGTCCTCGGGCGAGAGGTTGTCGTACATTGCGTAACCGGACACGAAGGCTGTGGTACCAAGAGGGACCGTCATCTCTTCGTCGGTGCCGTCGTCGTAGCGGAGGGTTTGCTTGCGGCCGCCGGGCACACGAACTGCCAGGAGAGTCGTGGCGACGGGCGGTGCGAGACCGTAGAGCGCGGCATCGATGTGCCAGCGGTAGAAACGTGTGAAATCCAGGTCATCCTCATCAGGGATGATTGTAGCGTGGAATGTGCGGTGGTGAGGGTGTCTGAGCTGGATGTTCTTCAGACCCTCGTACTCCTCGACGAAGCCATTGCCAATGACTTGGACTTGAGGCTGGTGCGGGATGGTCTTCAGGTCAGGGTGCAGAATGGAGCGCTTGGCGTCCAGGGTCTTGCCGTGACCGTAGTTCTCACCAGAGTCAGGGTCGAACTTTTGTGTAATCTCAAACTGTGCCTTGGGAGATGCATGTCCCTGGTTCTTGATTACGAGAACTTGGTGCTTGAAGAGAGCTTCACGGATGACATCAAAGTCGGCATCTGTAAATCGTCAGCCAATGGTCTGAATTTGTGAGTCTTGTTACTTGAAGCTTACCAGAGGAGGTTACCGATTTCACGGGTATTCTCCCACTACTTGTACAACATCATCGCTTTCAATGCATCAAGCTCGCGTCACATCTTACCAGTGAGATTCTCAATATCAGCGTTGCTTATAGTAGCGCCAAAGTCAACATCCGAGTCCGCAGCAGGGACAATTGGCTGGACGGTTATGCGAGACGGAGTCTGTGAGATGGCCATTTTCGAGCTAGAGTTCGGAGTAATATTGGTTCTTAATTTGATAGTGCGTTGATCTTGTTTCGAATGGCAGCTGTCTTCCAACGTCTAAATTGAATTCATGCAGCAGTCCGGTGGCCCTGAAGAGGGTTTTATGTCTTATGAAAGATATTGTGGTGGAGTCGTCAACTCGGATCCCGCCGATGACCTGCGGGTGAGTTTGTTATCTCATCCGCACCGGCCCGCCCGCACTCGAGAGACTAGATGAAGAGATGGTGGGGTTTCTCGATAAGGCTGTGGCGTAGAACACCGGATTGCGCATTTCCGGTTTGTATTCGGCTGGTGTTATTGGATGAATACTCTCGATATCTGTCGACTCGTTGAAGATTCTGGATTGGGACTTTGTGCACCTATCAAGCAGTACCGTCAGCCTCTTGTTGACAGTGATTCAACATCTGGCTGCTCGCGTACCCCAATTAATAAGGTACATGACTCCATCCTTGAACCAACATCGGCTCGAAAACCCAACGCCGAACCCGCGAGTCACCCAGCCACCCCTCCATCCCACCCCTCCATCTCTTCCGCCCGCGACTCGGCCTACGGGCGCAGAATCCCGCGAATTTTTGATAGCTGTGCCCGAAATATTACAGATTCTCGCGTGGCAGCCACTCAGTGCGCACTGGTGCATTCCATCTCTTCAAAGCCCGCGGCTGGCATGGCTGCGTCGGTCTCCGCCCTTGCGCCGTCCGAAGCGGACCATGTTGTCGGAAGGGAAGCGGCAGGAGAGTGTTCTCAATGCTCCAGCGTGTCGTCTCTGCCAGAGGCCAACTGCAGGTCTGGAGACTATGCATCCGTGGCAGTGACTACCTGTAGCCGTCCTCTGTCGTTGGCAAACCAAAGCAAGCCAGGACAAGACCGTAACGATATCGTTGCGTCTGAAATATGAGTCGATAGCGTAGTTGGCTACTCAATGCTTCTTGACCTTGTCCATCCATTCCTTGGAAGCCTTTGTGCCGTCGTGAGCTTTTCGGAAAAGTCCTCGCTCCCACTCATCCAGGCCGCGGAGGAACTCCTCACCGGAGCCTCCAACACCATCATCACCTCCTTTTCGGGCGTGCAATGCGATCTCAGACGCGCGCGCTATGAACGTCTTTCGCATGGTGTCGCTAAGGTCGCGCTCGTCGAAGAGATCCAGGATACGAGTGCCGAGTCCGTAGAAGTGGGCGCTCTGGTCTCTAACCGGCACCGAGCGCGCATCGGCCTTGAGTGCTTGTACGACTTGATTCGAGAGTGAGGGAGGAAGGTTCAAGGTGACGGGCGCCTTGGAGTCGTCGCCGGTGCCTGCATTGGCAAGGGCAAGCATCTCGGCGAGCCAGAGAGGGAGGCTGACGTTGGTTCCTGCCTTTAAAGCATGCGAGGGATTATTGTCGAGGTATCCGAGGTCGGCAACATCGAGTTCGAATTTGCAGGGGACTTTCTAGGCGGTTGTTAGCTTTGGTCATCGATTATGCCAAGCGTGAAGGTAATGGCATGAGGAGAGGGGCATGATATAGGGAATCACTGCATACCTCGGCATCTGTGAGAATGGAATCAATGTCGTAGTAAGACATGTTGACTTCTTTGACAAGATCCTCGCTTCGTTTGACTGGGTGTTCATAACTGGGATATGAGATCGAACCTGGGAGGGGGCCTGTTGGTGAAGCTTGACGCGTCTGGCGATGCAGCAGACGCGGTTCTTGGAGCCCAGCCACACATGACCCCTCCATGTCTGTCACTTCCCAGCCACATTCCTTTGGTGAAGCTGTGGCTGTGTTTGCATGAGTAAGGCGGAGGCAGAAGAGCACCCAATGAGACGTGATGGATTACCTAAGAGTGTACCAGAAGCTCCAAGGAAGCTGGAGGTGACAGCTCCCCACTTTTAGTGGATGACGACATTTCTCCACGTCTCTCATTCGCTGAAAGCTTGATTAGGTGATTAAGTATCTAAAGCAGTAGACGGGGGAACCGCTGGAGGAACACGGGGAGAAGCGCAAAAGCGCTGAAGAGCGAGCCCGGCCAACAACAGCTCGGTAGCCGTAGCCCGGAGGCAGCTTTTCTGGAGATCCGAGCTCCCTCACGTAATAGCCGACCGAACCTCCCGCAATTGACATCATTCTGAGATTTGCACCAGCATTTGTCAACCCGCCAATCCAACGTCAAAAGGTACTTTTACGCCCTTACTGCCTCGCTCCTTTGGTCTTTAGCATCTCGGAAAACTTGATCAAAACCATTGACACTAATCAAAAGACATAGAATACCCAAAATGTCGTCCACTCTCCTCCGTACCGCGCCCGTCCTCCGCACAGCTCTGCGAGCTGGTGCTGCTAAGCCTGCTGCTGCTTCCCTGGCCAGCACCAGCTTCGTTCGCGGCAAGGCTACTCTGCCCGATATCTCTTGTAGGTAACGCCGGTATTGTCATCGTATTCGTTGCGAGGATACAGACGCGCTAATGCCTCCTCCTACGCAGATGACTACGGCGCCCTCGAGCCCTACATCTCGGCCCAGATCATGGAGCTTCACCACTCCAAGCACCACCAGACCTATGTCAACGGCCTCAACACCGCTCTTGAGACCGTCGAAGATGCCAACGCCAAGGGCGACTACGCCAAGGCTGCTGCTCAAGCTCCCTTGATCAACTTCCACGGCGGTGGCCACGTCAACCACTCTCTCTTCTGGGAGAACCTTGCCCCTGCCAGCAGAGATGGCGGTGGTGAGCCCGACGGCAAACTGGCTGTACGAGACCTCTTCGAAACAAGTCCACACTCTGCATTGAGAAGATACTGACACGTTCCACAGCAAGCCATCAAGGAGGACTTTGGCTCCTTCGACACCCTGCGCAAGCAGATCAACACCTCCCTGGCCGGAATCCAGGGTAGCGGTTGGGCCTGGCTGGTCAAGGACAAGACCAGCGGCACCCTCGGCGTCGTCACTCGCGCGAACCAGGACCCCGTTACCGGCAACCTCGAGCCTCTTCTCGGCATCGATGCTTGGGAGCACGCCTACTACCTGCAGTACCAGAACCGCAAGGCCGAGTACTTTGACGCCATCTGGAACGTTGTCAACTGGAAGACTGTAGCCAAGCGCTTCGAGAAATAAGCAAACAAGGGACACATGTACGATATGCAACTGCTGATACCTAACAAAAATTTACCGTGTTTGACCAATGCCAGCCTGTTGGACGACAACGTGCCAGGCTGTGACAGCCATCTCAACCTCAAACGTTAGACATTCTAGGATGAAATTAACAAGTTTTGTAACTATGGTACTAATGGCAGCACTACGGCCTTGACCGACAGAAACAAGTCCCAAACTCCTCGCTCTATTCAACAATGGTTCGACGCCATCTCATGGTATTGGGAGGAACCCCATATCTGCCCACTTGCTGCCATCAAAGTGGACGTGCTTCAGCTGCCGGTTCGCTTGGAAGAAGCAATGACTGAGGTCATGCGATGCTTCAAGAGGCACCTCCGGAATCTTTGCCGACGCAGCTGTGACGCAGGCGATATGTGTTGGATTGTCAGCACCATCGAAGACGGCATCCGACTCTGGCCCTTTCCACCCTGCCGTGTCGTCCTCGTACACATAGGATATCTTGCCAGTCTTGGAGTCCTGGTACAGGACCCATGTGTTGAGGGCCTCTGATTTTTGGCCGCTAGAATCAAGCCGAGCTACCGCGAAGCCAGCCATGGTAAAGTTCGAGTCGACAGTCACCGGTAGCTGACCCGTCGAGGTGAGCTGCTGGCCACCAGATGATCGATCATAGTTTTGCAGATGACCGTCGGTGCTACGGTATATGATGCGTGCGCTTGATGCGGATGTCAGGTCTCCAGCTGAGTGGATTACTTCTCGAGGAAGAATCACCAGTGCCGAGCCCGGAGACGCCGTGACCCCAACTATCTTGGGCTCTTGGAACCTGGGCGACTTGTAATCGAAAAAAACCTCCATGACGTCTCCGTTGCTTGCCTGGATAATGGTGGACGGCCAGTATGATGCCATCTGTGTTCCCGTGTTGCTGATGGTGTAACCTGCCTCATTGACGCTGTCTGTCAGGCCCCCTCTCGAGAAACCTTCACGCCAATTGACGCCGAGAATCTTGTCTGGCGATCCAAGATAGAACACTTCGGACTGCGGGATTACAGGCAAGGGCTTCACAAGACGTCTTTAGTGAAAGGTCCACCGACGAAGAAAGGGTAAATACGAACCTCGTCGGGCTTGGTCCACAGCTGACCGGCGCCGAAAGGAGAGCCCACTTTGGGGGCTGCCCCAGCTTCCATCGGGGGAGTCCAGGCTTGATAGATGGTCATGTATTGAGACCGTCTCAATGAACCGTCTGCGCCCTGGAAGAAGACTTGCAGGGTGATGTCGGAACCGTATCGCCATCCGACAGCAGATACAGCCGAGTTCTGCATAATCTTAGTAGCGCTCATCGATGGTGCATCGCCGTTTACCGATCCCGGACCACCCGTTTGTGATTGTGCGCTCCGGTTCACCGTCACCCTCCATGCAGCCACGCCGCCGATGACACCTCCAAGAATCAAAACGACTAGAGCCACAGTGATTGCGATACACCACGGGAATCGCCGACCCGGCCGCTGATCCTCCTGTCCTCCAACATGGCTTCCAGGGGCTTGCGAGGAGTAGCCATTGTCCAACGTCTTGTGCTCACTGTAGCCCGAGCCGTTTTGTGAGGAAGACTGCCAGTGACTTGCTCCATTGGCGATAGCTATAGGAGTGTTGTCGTAGTGTGTGCTTACTTCAAGCCCTGGTTGAACAGCCTCGGCTGGACGGTTCATGGTGAGCGGCTTGTGAGGGAGGAATTTCCTTTGTTCCAGTTCAGAACGAGCGTAGGGGAGTACGAGATGTCAAAAACACCAAAGTTCCAAGAGTTCAAGAGAACGAGCGAGAGTGCTTCGTGGGTCTCTTGCCGTATGTATATCTGGGCTCACGTCCGACCCCACGCTAAGGCGAGACTTTTACTCACTTCGCTTCGTCTTGTTTCAATACTTTCCAAATCTACGGGAGACCATCCAAGGGCTCTAAAGTCTCGTGTCCTTCTTATCCACTCTGGAGGCTACCTACTTTGAGGACCGAATCGGCCCCCAGGTTCGACGTCAGAACACGAGCCAAGACCTGCGACTGTGCCTTCTCGCCCGCTGGAGGAGCAATGCCAGGTGACAGCCGAGATCGAGATGCCCACTGCTCCATTGATGTCCAAGGTGGCCTCGTCAGAATTTTCCCCCGTCCAATGATAGGGTCTTTATTGACGCGTAGGATTCTCAAGTTCACCTCAGACTGGAAGACCGACATAAATTTGGCAATCATCAGGCTCCATACGCTCTACGAGACTTGGAAGACGTTGACGCCAAGGAGGCGGCACAGCAGGGTCTCTAATTGCGGCCTCTGGTATCCTGCAGCTAATAGGGCTGGGCTGACTGATGTGACGATTCATAACGCAGAGCTTCATGCACTGCCAGACGTCGGCTGCACTGGAAATACCAAAGTCCCTTGCCAGCGTGCCATCGCTTTGCTGGTCTTGATGAAGGAGAGAGCATGGACAGGGACTTGAAGCGCCAAACCGGGAGCCTGGCTAATTGGCCGACAGGCAACGAGCTTACAACACTAAATTAACCTTGTTTGTGACTGAGAACGGGTCTGAGACTGGATCATGATTCGTGGGTTCGCTTTTGGGGGTTAATTCTCCAGTCCCATGAATGATTGAGGCCAATTACTGCATGCTGCTCTGCCTGGTGTTGCAACCTTGGATCCCAGACTCCAGTTTCCCGGGATTGCGCCCTTTGTTAAACAAGCTGGCCTTGTACGACACTAGAGAAAGCTTCGCTTGACTTCATCGTTGACCGCGGTGATTGCTGGACGGCGAAACTCGCGGTTCTGTCATCTCTCTGTCAAAAAGAAAAAAAAATAGTTTAAATGCACGAGAACCGCATCTCGGGTCGATCGGCACAGGATTGGTCCAAAGGACTTTTAGTTCGCATCAGATTGCTCCTCACGTGTGCGTATTAGGCAGAACCAAATGGTTCGCGAGTCCGCCACGTTTAGGCTTCATCGAGATTAAAATGAACGGAAAAAGCTACTCTAAATTATCGAATCTCAATACTTAAACATCAAGATAACATACCGCTCATATATTGTTCCGTCCAACTCGTTTCACTTGCCTGTATTCCGTCGTGAGGAGTAATCTTACCTTCATAATGCCCCTCTGCGACCTTTGCAAATCCATCCCATGGGAGGATCTCCCTCCCTTTCCGAATGAAAACTTCATGAAGACTTTAAGCGGCTACCCACGCTTTCATCACTTGGTATTGAAGAGTCAACTGATTGAGAAAGACACGCCCATCAAAAGATTCGGCGTCCAGTACCATGCAAGCCTCCAGAGTCTCCGCCAAGCTGCCTCTGGCGGTTGCGAACTCTGTCGGATCATTGAGAGAGAAGCCGATGCACTGATGGAGGAGATCGCAGGCCTTCCCCAGCCGAGACGCGGTCTGATGCAGACCGAGCCCAGCTGGGATATGTGGCTGACGAAGCGATCAGAGTCTGAAATATCCGGCGATGGGTTCTGGGTGGTGAATAGAAGCTCGTGGGGGAGCGACAAGTGGCTCGTCCCGATTGCGTCCATCGGCTTCAGTTCGGATGAAGGTGAGTTTCTCTCCACTGCCTACTCAACTTCAACTTCTTGATATTAATGCTCATCTGTGACTTAGATGATCCTCGCACCACCGGTTCTTCTGGTCGCGTGTTGAGAGAAGTTCCAGACGAGGCGACACTCCGTCGAGCTGTTGACTGGCTTGAGAAGTGCAACGAACATGATTATTGTAGTACTCGCGGGATGTCACCTCTACCAAGTCGTGTACTTGACGTTGGCACACTGGAGTCCGGTCCCGTCATCAAACTCATCGAGCCAGGTGCTGATCTCCGCGATCGATACATTACTCTAAGCTACTGCTGGGGTCAAGGATCGAAGCAATTCACTACAACAAACGAAACAATGCAAGCACGAAAGGAGGGTTTCTTGCTGGACTCCTTACCACAGACCCTTCAGGATGCAGTCTTCATTACTCGAAAACTCGGAGTTCAGTACCTCTGGATCGACAGTCTCTGCATCTGCCAGGATGACCTCAAAGACTGGGAGCGAGAGTCGGGTCAAATGGCTGCAGTCTACTCTAATTCCTACCTCACTCTTGCGGCCACAAAGTCTTCTGATATCAATGGAGGCCTCCTCTCGCCTCGGAAGAAAAGGACATACTTCAAGCTTCCTCGGGGAAGTTCCAGCAACGAAGACACATTCATCCTTGCGTCTGTTCTACCTCTCCACAAAGAAATCATCCACGAGTACCACTTGCAAATGAGGGAGGAGCCTCTGACAAGAAGAGCCTGGGGCTTCCAAGAGCGTGTTCTTGCCCGAAGAATACTACACTTTGGAAGCGAACAAATGTACTGGGAATGTCTCGAGGGATTCCACGCCGAAGAAGGACTCAAACTCCCACGCCGACTACCCTGTGTCAATCCCGAACCAGAAGTAATTGCCCATGTGGAGAAGCGCGCCGAGGAGCAGGCAGAGCTTTACAAAGACTTCAACCGCTCCACATCCTCTCTCCTGGCCTGGTCTCACCTCTTGCGCGAGTACGGACCTAGGGAGCTAACAAATCCTGCTGATAAACTGCCTGCATTCTCCGGTGTGGCGAAGACCTTCAGCAGGATACTCGACGACGAGTATCTAGCAGGACTGTGGCGAGGTTCCTTAATCGAGGGGTTGTGTTGGCAGCCACTGAGCTGCCAGCCTGCTTCGGGGGGCTACCGCGCTCCGTCGTGGTCATGGGCCTCTGTCGATGGTACTCCTGCGACGGGGTTCTTGGGTGAGAGTGTACCTCATGCAGAGATCATTGAGGCAAAGGTCGAGATTGACGGCGAAAATCCATTTGGTCGTGTCAAAGACGGCTGGATTAAGCTCGAAGCTCCGCTTGTGAAGATGGTCGTGTCCGACAACAAAGGCCCGACAGGACACATACTTCTGAGGACCGAGAAGGGCGCGACTGACTTCTACGCAATGCTAGATACGATTGACCGGGACTATGCTGCTAGCGGAAGCCTCCTCAATTCAGTGGAGTTGAGTGCTGTCGTTCTGGCCTTCACCTACGGCACTCCTTTCAAGGCAGATCCCGAGCGGAAGGATCCATGTGCTCATGCACTACTTGTGGTCCCTTCGGAGGATCGACCTGGTTGTATGAGGAGAATTGGGATGCTCGTCCAGGACGGAGCAGCATTTGGGGCGGACCTACTGGCTTCTGCAAAGTCTGTTGTCACCTTGGTATGATTTGCTTGAGAAAAGTGAAGAGGGTAACGAATTGCAGGGTATCATCAATATATTTTCAGCCTGTACGCCATGCTGTTCTGCTAGATCGTATCGACTACGTGGCAAAGGCTACGTAGTTAAGGTAGGTTTCCACATGTTGAAAAACTGCTATGGAGATGTTAAGAAGTGCGCCTGGGTGTCTGGTCTCGCCGGCATTGAGTGCAACACGCTGATCTCCACCGTTTTGTTGATCCCTCCCAGCGACGTCGGTTCAATTCCGTCGAGCCCGATGTTGGATCTGGACGAGCTAGCGCTATGAATGTTTTCCTGAGAGCTTGTCCGCCTGCCACCGCGAACCTCGACTAGTCTCTCGCTGTGTTGTGTGGCAGCATACCAATCATTCTGTTTCTGATACGAGGCAAATCCTCGGATAGGCAATCGACTTGGCTGTGTAGGGTGATAGACCTGTGTCGTGAAGACGAGTTTAGATGCCAGGATGTCAATGCTACACAGGTAATATTAGACAGCAGCACTATGCAACACGTGGGAGTATAGGGGTGTAACTCACAACATGACTACAGGGAATAGGCACTCAAGTGTATAAGCGAAGCGGTCAATCTGACTTGCCGCGTTTGTAGCACTCTGAGCAGCAATTTGAAAAGAATATGTGACGGCTCTCATTGTTCCAACCAAAGCCAGCGTCGCAAGCCGGACTTCAGTGCTTCGCATTAGATATTTGAACAGACCTCCCTTCAATGCTGCTCTCAACGATGTCGACTTGACCTCGGCGAACGTCTTGAGCAAGAAAAAGGAGCTGATACACTCGAGCGAAGCTATGAGAACAAAGTAACCGATGTGTAGGTTGTTGACGGTGCTCTGCAGGTTCGTGTTGCCTCTTAAGATAAATTTGGCGCGCGAGACGGCGATCATGATGCGTATTGATATGATTGAGAGAACCATGATCCAGAACAAGCTGTTGAAGATCTTCCAGCCCAAGTCCTTTAAGATTCTTCGGAGAAGAACGTAACTGTAGAACGATAAACCGACTTCCTGAATCTATATGCAATGTTAACATAAAGTACGCGGAACACCTTTGATTTCTAATCTCACCATCCAGAAGATATCACCAAACACCGACGCCGCTGCTTTGCTCTTGAGGGAATACGTCTCATCGTAGAATGCGTAGTAGCAGAGTCCGTTCGCGATAGCGCCAGCAGCTGACGATACGATTGGCACCGCAGTTATCTGGGAGAAGGTTGTGATCCCGGCGATGAGGAAGCCAAGCATAACGTTGGTGGCACCGATGGTACTCAAGATCGACCAGCTTAGCTCGAAATACACCGGAAGGAGCGGCGTCGACATGTTGGCGCAACTTGAGCAACTAGATATTGACTCAACTGCCGCATGGCCGTTGGATGTGAGAGATGACTTGAGCATCGTCTGTCGCGAACGCTCCACGATCAGTCTCGCGCTTAATACTCTCTGCCTGGCAAACCTAGTGGCATCGACCGGCGTTCAACTAACAGGGCGACTTGGTACTTTTCGGCGGCAGGGTGTCAGAAGCATGCAGTCTGGAACTCTGCCTTGCGAATCGCTCGGCACAAGGCGAATCATTTCGCAGTCCGGCAGGTTTTGGTGATGTTAGGAGCGTTCGAGACGTGTATATCATGGTATACCCTTGTCGCAAACCAATGTGGCCGAAGTTTTTTTGTCAAATCTGAGGATGATGGGCTTGGCCTCTGCTTCAATCCTCATAGTTTCCAGGGTTCAACATCGGAAATATGCACGGAATCTGCACCTATTTCCAACACGGTTCTTTGTAAACATGGGACAATGCCCTGTGCTTCAAATCTTCGGAAGAAGGCTGCTCAATTCTCGTTCTGGTGTTCCCCAAGGCTTACCTACCTATTGTGTGCCTCTTATCCTCTTCAATGATGAAGTTGGCATACGGTCCTACTTTGTCTGCGTTTAAAGAGCTGCGGAATTTGTCGTGGCACAGGGGCTGCGACCCGACGAACCCGTGAGTGCGACTGGCTGCCGATTCCCCGACCAGAGTTGAGCGTTAAAGTTCGAGGCACAACACCTCGGACTCCCCAGAAAGCTTAGAGCACCTCATTGCCATGTTCAAACCCCGCTTCTCTCCAAAATGTTTTTGGATCGAGCCTGAAGGGAGGGAAGCACCCTGTCCAAAGATCAGGGACTACTGCACGTGTTCAATCCGTTCACTGGGCCTGAGGCCGATGTCGAGCGAGAGGTAGGACTACGTTGGTGGCGATTTTGAATCCTGCTAGGTTTCCGTCAAGAGCACTGCGGCACGATGCAGACGGGTCTCAGCAGAGAAATCCGAGACGGGCGAGACCATGATGATGGGGAAACACCAAGAAGACGACGGGCTTCAGGCCGATAAGTTCACGTCAGGGACACTCGGAATTGACTCCGATGACCATACCAGACTTCTGGCAGGCCATCGAGTCCCAGCAGCTCCAGAGCTGACCATCATGTTCAATTCTATATGTATGAGAGACAACTTGGAGCTTCTTCGACAGTGTACGCCAGTGTACGCCAATGTACGTGAACATGACCTACGAATTGGCTAAGCATCATTGGGAGATGAGATTGCGACGGGAACTGATGAACATCATCAACGATTGAATGGATGAATAAGAATAATAGTGCTTTCTCACATAGCATGTGACGAGGAGCCTGAGTCGTGAAGAGACAGAAAGTATATCAGCATAGTACGGTGAGTTTGTCACTGGCATTTGAAGTGAAGTTGGAGGCAGCGCCTCACAACAGCCTTCAAGAATGGTCAATGCTAGGTCCAGCAACCACCACAAGAATACTATGATCTTCTTCAAGATGGCGATACGTCGTATCAGCCAGTCAAGAGAAGGCGCTACGGGACACGAGAAAACGTTATTACAGCAGCTAGATCAAAGCTTACCGGGGACTTTCCACGACGGCTGTTTCTACTCGCTAGGAAGAACTCTCTTTTCAAATCAGCAGGTAGACAAACATCATGTTTCTGATTTCGTTCATCTATTTGTCTCACAGACAACGACGATTGACATATTTATTCCTGCCAAATTCAGTAGCTTATTGAGCGTCAAATACATGTACCAGTAATGGCCTACTAAGCTCACGTACGTAGGGTATCTTGTTCTCATCCCTCCCTCGAGTGATCGCCCGAGCAAACAGCCTTTTTTCTACCTTGTCCCGAACGCCTTTTCCATGTAATTTTACCTGTCCCTGATACATCCTGGCCGCGACTTCCTCCATCCGGAACCATACCCTCGCGCACTGGGCGGTGATGTCGTCAAGACCGGAGAAGCTCTTAGCTGTGTTCTGCGCCCATCGAGGGGACTCCTTGTTCCGTATCCGCGTCGAACATCTTCCAGTCGATGTATGTTTCCCCTTCATTCGTACCATTTGGACATGGTAGGTTATCCATTTGCATCCCTCCTCCGCCAGACGCCGGTGCCGAAGCGCCCCCGGCCATGCTCGATGATACCAAGTTTTGGGCCGCGCCAGAAATGTACTCCTCGATAAAAGAGCACCCACAGCTACCGTGTTGAAGCACCATGGTCTTCAACATGAGGATCTCGCCTCGGAGCAACGCAGCCTCGTCGTTGAGGTTCTTGTTGATGTTTTCGGCCATCGCCTCCTGGGTCTGTAGCTCCTCGACTCCCTTTTGCTTCTTCTTTCTGCACTTGTAAGCTGCCTCCCGATTCCGTGCTCGGATCTTGTTCTTCTTGGCTTCGGCGCCGCTGCGTTTGTCCCCTGTGTCGATGGCGCCGCTCGTTGATGTGTTTGAGGCTCGTCGGGTGCTGCCTTTCTGCCGTGCTTCTGCACCTGTCTTTGGTGCGACAACATCTAGTCCATCATCCTCGGAAATCCTCGGTCGCCCCCTGCGTCGCTTTGGAGACTCTATCGCCTCGATTGGTAAAGATGGTTTCGTTTCACTTGCGGAATCGAAAACCAGAGGATCAATCGGTGGGAGTTTCGGTGAATTTGTGTTATTATGTGGTGAGATGACGGAGCTTATTGGTGACGCTAATCCTTCTGCCTGATTGCTGGCAGGAGAATTTTGCCATGAATGAGGACCTTGCCCTTGTGTTGAGGCCGAAGACCGGCGGTCTACTTCAAAAGGAGGATTCGCGGCTGGAACCCGGGACGAGGCGAAAGTCGCTTGTAGATCATTGCTGCCGAATGTCTGTTGTGAATGTTGCTGCTGGTGCTGCTGCTCTGTTTGTGATTGAGGTTGCTCGAAGTCACTTATAGACTGGTCTACATGTTCAAGTTAGGATACAGCCTGAAATTGAGGAATATTTAATGGATAACCCACTTTGTTGAGGTATGCTTACACTGCTGCCGGAGAATGCCATCTCGAGCTCTCTTTTCGCTGCGATGCGACTCTTACAGGGGACGGCAGGGGGAGAACAGGGTTGTCTCGACTGGCTAGGCTAGCCTTGGCTGGAGACGAAAGCTTAAGCAGGCAATGGTGGTATCACGAAGGTAATTCTTGGTGTTACTGATTAATTGTGCGTATTAGATGGACGATAAGCCTGTCTTTGGCGAAGAACAATAACGATTTGAAGGTAGTCGAAAGTGGCTAGAAACCAGAAACACACACACGTACCGCGTCAAGGGGTTCGTGACGAGGTCCGACGATCCTTTTAAAGGAACTCAGCACCAATTCGCGGAAGACGAGGTGGGGGGGCAAAGAGTCTGTGGTCTTGTCCCTGGGCCCGATTAGGACAAGCACCTCATGGCACGGCGGCACCAAGGCAAGACACGGCAAGCCAAGAAGAGGGATCCTGTACGGTGGAACCAGTGCCAGTAATAAGATCAGCGTACCGCAGTTCGGGTAAGCAGTGCTTCTTGAGAAGCTCATGGACTAATTAGCGGGGTGGCTTCGGCCGAGCTCAACAAGGTCAAAGAGGGGCCTTGACTCCCGTGAGCCTTGACTTTTGAGGCCTTGTCACATAACAGCTGGCGAGGTGCGGGATGCAAAGAGTGTTTGCCACTATGAGAGTAAGTAGCGTCTAGGTAGTGTGCAGATTCCCGTCCCTCCTGGCTTGGCTTGGCTCGGCTATACCAACATAATGCTAGCACGAAGGGAAGCGGCTTCAACGAACCCTAGGTGCCTATGTGTTGGCCAGGAACGATGGGGTAGAGAAAATAAGGGGAGGTGTTTGCGATGTCAACATGTACGATGACGGAGAGGCACTATCCTACACGGTTTCCGTAACCTGCTTTCGTTGGTAAGGCAGGGGGGCGCGGGAGCTTTCCTCCGGGCTTGTAGTGGTACGAGTCGAATCTCAGCTCACGGAGTTGTTTCCGTAGAGAAGTGAACCAATAGACATGTCTCAATGGCTAGCTTTCGATCAGAGGCATGCCGGGTCGACCAGGAACTGCTTACTTGTGCTTGGCTAGTTGGGCCCTTGTAATCCACTAATTAAGATGGAACTCTCCCTCTTGTTCTCTTGTCCATGCTCGATCATTCCCGTGGCATACCCACTGTGCCACTTTGATCTACCATCCCGAGTGTCCGGGGTATGCCATTGGATAATTACCAGAGGAAGCAAATCGGAAATGTGGCTTGCCTTGAAGTGGCGAACCTGCAAGGAGGAGTGTCCCAGTGTGCCTCGGAGCCCCGGCTTGGACGCGACAACGAGCCACAGTTTCGACCCCGCGAGGCAGGTCAAACAGGCTTTCATCTTACATGTGCCGTCGCAGCCACGGGCAGGTGAGCGTCAAATGGCCCTTGAAATCTCTGGGCTGTTGGCGATTCTCCACCACCGCGTCATCACTGGGTTGCTTCATTGAGATACCTTTCGTTGGAAGACGGGAGTTCTTCTTCGCGGCCCAATCCTGACGGTTCCTAGGTCAATCGAATTGTCAGTTACGATTCGAGTTCTGGAATCCTGGGACTGCATCGTCCTATCTTTGCGGCTTGCCAATATTTCCGTGGTGCATTACGGTCCAATGGACGAGCCTTTTTCAGGAGCAAAGATTGTCTGTGACCCTGTAAACTCCGATGGAATTCCTGATCTCGATTTGAAAGAATCCCATTCTGCTTAGCGATCACAATTCTGGACCACCACTCGACGCTAGTTTAGCGCATGGGTTATCATCTTCTTCGGAGCACAATCTCCACGAATTTCCACGGACATTGAAGTTTCTGTCCTTGTCCCTCTCCAATTTCTTCCACCCGTGCCACTCATTACCCTACTTCTCACAGGAGGTGTGGCGCAGTTGACCCTCTTGAGTTGCCGGCAACGAGTAGTCACACTTTGGGGTTTAGAGCAACTGCTCAATCATGCCACTCAGAACTGGGGTCATTGCCTCTTCTTGACAAT